AGGTGTGAAAATATAGTGTTAAAACATATATGACAGATATGAACTGATCTTAATTAGCTAACTTAGCTAGAAAATAATGTCTACAGTCTACATACAGTTGTTCTTGTGTAAGTCGCGGCTCTGACTGTGAAACTTGACATTAAAATATTTTTGAAAGGAAGAGGTTTTATATTTTTGGCTGCAGGTACATTGTTTAACTAATCACTCACAAAATTCACACATTGGTGTAGAATACTGTAAAAAATGAAAGGTTAATTATGAAAATCTTTGGCATAATTCTGATGATGGATAAATGTGTGACCACTCTTACTTCAGAGTTACCAGGCTGGCTAGAGGCCTTTCTATTCATGCACATTCTTTCAAAAGTGGTTAAGAAAAGTTAAAACACAACAGTTGTGGGAATTATCTTGGGGAGCGTAATGTATCAGTTGTTTCAGACTACTATGTCAGGAAGAATACTTGGCACCGAGCTTTGTGTACCGTAAATACGTAGTTAAAATGATTGAATAAATTTTGTTTAATGTGTGCCACCTGTTTTTGCATTAAAAATACAGTAGTGTTTAGTAAAGAAGAGTGATAGATATGGTGTACCTTAAAACGTCCCAGCAAGTGGTCTTTATTATTCCCAGAGAGTTGTTACCGACACTGTACAGTGTCTTAAATTATGCTATATTGAATGCTCAGAAAAATGGAGATTTTAATAAAAAATGTGACAAATCACTTTTAGGCTCATGGCAAGATTTGTGTTACTCGTGCTCCAGTGAACTCATAAAACTCACTTTAGGTTTAATTTTAGCAGCGATATCAAGCTTTGATTCATTTCATGCAAAAGTGAGGCATTGTTCATAGATGTTTTTTTTAATTTGATTAAACACAAGGACAATGTGGAATTCCTTTCTGTAAGCCCAAAGATAACATTTGAGTTACTAGTACATTACATGTACTGTACTAAACATTTTTTCATTAGTTGAAATCTTGTATAAATTATACAATTAAGTTTTTGTGAAGAAGTCTCCCAATAAGCATCAAAGTCTAAACTTGCATACAGCACAGTATTAACATAGTTTATATTGATCATCTTGCAAACTATGAATTAGTACTGTAGTCATATTTTATTTGTAAAGAACTTAATCGCTTTAACACTGCCATAGTGCAAAATTTGCACATTTAATGTATTCTGTGATAAAAGTGTCTGGTGTTGTTTGACTGTACTGTACAGTACTGTATTCTAGTCACTGGGTTATGGTGTAGCTAAATTATTTTAGTGAATGGAGCTCACAGTTCTTACAAAAGTTGTGTTGTAATGAATGTTGACATTTAGTTGGACTTTGTTAAGCACATTTAGAAATTTGAATACAGTATATCAATTTCCAGAAGTGCTTATACAGTAATTGAATTCAGGTAGATACTGACTGACATTCACAAAATATTGATTGCATAAAGTACAGAACAGTATCTCTTCTCATGGGAGATGACATTGCAAAAGTAGACAGAGCTTTGAACAATAGAGAACCTGAGTTTATAATAAGGAAGTGTAAAACGCTGACTTTTATGAAATACTGTAGTCATTTACGTTTGGCTTTACCCAACAAAAGATTTAAGTTTTATTTTAGTGTAATTGGATTAAATGCTGGTACAGGTATACTGTATATTATACAATACTGTATTGAAATAAACTCAAATATGTTATGAATAAATAGTACCAGTACAGTATTCATAATGTGAAATGGGCATCTAAAGATGTGTAAGCCACCTACAAAAAAGTGGATAGGGCCTTGTAAACAGGTGGCAAGGAAACATGTGCAGGTACAGGGTACTGTATTGTACAGTACAAGTAATCTAGATTATGTTAAGTGGGAATTTGCCAGTTAAAGATTAAATAGAAGCTGATACTTTAATTCTTGCTCTTTTTTGGTGGGAACTTCCATAATATGTGCATTTCAATGCATAGATTGTATACCAGCGAGGGAGGAAGGAAAAAAGAGTGTAATCTGCTTTTTTCTGAATTTTCACTTATTTTTATTTTAAGGCATAAATTACAAATCTTGTGGTGAGGTGTGGGGGAATTTGGCCTTAAAAAATCATGTGTTAAATTTCCAGATATGCATGTGATAAGGTTTATGGTACAGTTGCTTGCCCCACAGACGACTTGTGGCAACTCCGTACTGATAGTCACGTTACCCCAACTGGAGGATGATGGGGGTGAGGGGGTAACAACAGAGTCTAACAACATAATTATAACAAAGACATTATATCTAAAGGGTAAGAACAGTATAGTCTGGATTTATGTAGTCAATTGAACCCGTGGAGGTCCGCGTAAAACGAGAAACGCGTAAACGAAATAACAGAACATATGGGATTAATTGAAATAGAGACTGGGCCGACTCCCAAACTCCACTTTTTCCGACGCAATACGTACCTTGTAGTAAAAATAATATCATAATTTTATGATGGTATTGACACACATAATATCTAAATAAAAAACTACAAACCTAAAGGTGTTTAACACTTACGTTAGTAGAAGAGATGGGTCGGCACACGTGGATGGCGGCTGGTTCCGAGGCAGGGGGCAGATTAGTGGCCCTCCGGTGAATCACTATCACTACTCACAGAGGTTTGCAGGGCCTCACTGACAAACCCCTCAAAGTCCATATCCTCACTGTCACTATCACTGACTTGGGCTGGCTGTGGTTGTGGTGGGTTGCTGGCGAGACTAACATTGATGTTGTCGTGATACGTCTGGACATACCGCTCCATAATTTTCGACAGAAGGTTATTAGACACTTCATACCGATGCTCGACTGTGTCTTTGTCAAGGATGAGCTTAATTTTCTCCCCCAACCATGGCTTGGTCCAGGTAATTCAATGTTTTTTTGGGTTGGTGGGGGTCCAGCAGAAGCCGTTGTGAGGGGAATAGCGGGCACAAGAGAGAACTGTATACGCGGAGACTGAGAACAATGAGACTGACCCGGCTAGGTCAGTGACTTCTTCCCTCTGGTGGCAGGGCACGTCATGTTACATTAGACCAATCACAGCTAGCTGCGGAGGGAATGCGTGGGTGGTAGAGATGCGTGACCCAATCACAGTCCTTTGGCTCACATATGAAACTTTTGGTCAGGATGCAAACAAAAGAAGATAAAGTCATAAATAACAAAATATGTACTTGAAAGTAATATGTGGAATGATTGAGATGCCGAGAATTAAATAATAATACAAAAATATAGAGTTGTGTAAGTGCAAGAGGTTTTGGACAGAGCTGACCAGAATTTGCTCAGGGAGTTTGGAGACATTATGAAATTTGGAAGTGAAATGTTGTTAACAAAAAGTTTATGTATTTTACTGGTGTATGATAATAAGGGTGAGGGGCCTTGTTGCGGAATGGGTACACCAGTGATGTGCAATTAGTTGGGATCATTCACAATTTTGGCTTTAGCCCTATCGTGGCCTTTCAACACAAATTGTGTCATTACGCGCTCCTGTGCTGTTGCGACCCCTCCTGTTTAGCCGTATCTCACACTGTAAACGGTGGACTGGCCCTATCACCCATCAAAGTTTCTCCCACTATCCTCGTGGGTTGGCAGAAGCATTTCTTAAGGGTGCAATTTGGGTCTGGAACACTATACCCAATGTTTGCTAAAATGAAAAAAAAAATCCTGTTACTTTCACAACCTGCATCAAAAGACTGCAAGGGGGTGAGATTTTCAACCATGGCCAGGAGAACCAGAGGCTTAAGGATCCCTTGAATATTTTCCTCCCAGGTGCTCACCTGAAGTTTTACCCTTCAGCTCAACCAGCCTAAGTTTTATAACTCCAAAACCATCTGGGGGGGAGGGGGGGGGGTAATTTTTAGGTGATCTGGAAGGGTTAAAATTATGAATGGTCTTGTTCGTGGTCTTGGGGTCTATCTCGAGTACATCACTGGAGAACATCATAGCATAATACACTGTGGTAGCAATGAAAGTAAATGAATGACTGAATATAGTAGAGTGTATGTTTACTCTTTGTTCTGTTTACTTTGAAATATACTTTAACGTCCATCTATCGATATTTAATTGTCATTATGGCATAACATAGCATTAAGTACAGTATTGTCAGAGTACTGTACTGTGTATAATTATTGTAACTGTTTACTTCTTAATATGCAAAAAATTGAGTACAGGTACCAAGTTAATATTTTGTAGTAGGTTATATTTCTTTTCTTCTTTATTGTTTTATTTGTACAGTATTGTTCTCTTCTTAACAAATCCAAAGCCAGTTTGTCCCCGACCATGCAGTACTGTACAGTATTTAGGTTTGTCATTATGACTTTTGAATTTTCTCATTTATTTATTTATTTTAATTTTTTTATGGGATTAACTCCCCAGGGCACAGGTCAATGACCCATTTCAGGGCCTGGGGGGAAAATATATTACTACTGTACTACTAATAATAATGGCATAAAAACAATAAAACAAATATTAAATAATAATAATAATAAATAAATGAAAAAAATATCAATAGTGAGAAACGATATATGTATGTTGTATTGTCAAAGTAAGAGAAACAATTGAGACCCTGCAATTTTGTGTAAATGAGGCAGAAAGTCAGATCAGCAACCTGGGACTTGGTCACAATTTTTGTGATGCCATATGGCAGCAGGGTCTACCATTAAATAACACATTATGCTTCCAATATCTTCCCAGGCGGTAGTACCTCCCTGTTTGATAGCTGCCTACTACCTGCTACCAAAGGAAGCCGTGGTTATTATATATTGTATTGTACAGGTTTATTTTGTGTGAAGAAGGGATCCAGACAGATTTTAATGAAACTGCTGATTATTGGGGCATAGTTGAGGTAGATTCTGAATGACCAGGAGGGATAACTTGTCCAGGTTTGAATTATAGTAGAAGCTATTGTACAGTACATGCTAAATGGGATTATTATTATTTTTTTGGGTACTCGTGCATGACAATAGTTTGTATGTTAGTTTTACTCAGAGAATTTTTTTTTTCTCTTTTCAGACTCTCAGCTAACGAGTGCAAACGAGCAACAGCAAGCAATGTTAGGTGCTGTTGTTTGATGTACAGTGCCTGGTGCATTCATATGGGCTACCAACTGAAAATGGCGAATTACCTGTACTCAGTTTTGTGAAGAACCTTATTACTGTTTTAACAAAATTAAAAGTTTGTGAAGCCTATCAGTGGTACTGGTAAACAAGGAATTGAAGTGATATTTTAGTGACAAGATAACGAATAAAATTTTATGGTGTATAATAGTTCACATAACAACTTGAAACCAGCTGTGTGTTGAGAAAGCCCAGTATAATAATCTTGCTAATATGACTGTGTGCTTACGAGTACGTCAGTTGACGTGCCAATGTTGTGGAGGAAAAAAGGCCTAGTGTAAATTGACTAGGCCCCAGGGACAAGTCATTATTTGGCCTGTGGCTTAGGGTTGATGGTGAACATTGTTGGTGTTCGCACACTGGTCCCCCCCACTGTGGGCGGCCCCCCTATCACTGAGTCCAAGATGATGGCACGAGCGATACTGCAGTGTCGGCCCAATTCCCACCCCTTCCCAGTAAGTACCCATACATACATTTTACGTACTTAAATTTATTTTCTGTAATATGATTGTATTTAACCTCCTCTCAATGAGGGAAGGTAACTTGTGTGTTGTGCTGTATTGTACTTTTTTTTAAGCCTTTTTAATGGCACCAGTGTTCAAGCTGTATGCAGTATTTTCAAATGGGAATGATGAAGCATTACAGTATATCATTTAGCTTTCTTCTTGGATGATGTCCATAGTTATTACTGATACTGTACAGTATATCAGTCACAATGTTGTGAGGTTAATTGGGAATGGATCTGCTGGTGATGTGTGAAGTGGCAGAAGGATATAAATGGGTTTATTTTGTCTACAAGTGCTGGGAGAAGTGGAGGTACTCATCGTTCTGGCCACCTTGCATCAGTACTGTAGGGGGAAAATATAAAACTATGTAAACATGAATTGGATAATATGAAGTTTACCCGAGCATATTTCATCTTCTGGTTAAACATCCTAATGCTATGTAGGAAGGGTTAGGTTAGGTTAGTTTTGGGGTGTTTAATCATTAGGTGTAATAACCTGGGGCTAATCTTTATATAATCCTATTTATTAAAGGTTATTAGTAAAAAAAATGAGACCATGTATTTGGGGATATCCTATGAAATTTGTGGTAGCTATATACTGTAACCTTGTAGATACTTCTTGCTGTGTGTGATTTCTGACGGCAGACATCATCGTCTTCTGTTCTGCTGAGAATGAACTGTGATTGAAATTTATGAACCCATGAGTACAGTGGGATAACATAATGATGGTGTAACACTTAAATACAATGAAGGGTTTAACCTTTTTAGGAACACACCTTTAGGATGATTGTTAATTCACATAAGATAATAGTTTAACCCTTAGAGCATGCTCAGAGGGTTAAGGTGTGTCTGCAAGATGAGCTTTGTTCTTGAATTTCCACCCTACATATACGAGCTGAAGATGACTAGGGGTGATTGTTCATGCCTTTTGAGTAGCCAGTGAAAGTTAAAAGCCTTAACTGGGTCACGTGGTGTTCGACTGTTCACAATGAGATAATTGGGTATGGCTGAGCTCTTACCACCCATCTGTAATCACACGTAGCATGGAGAGAGAGACCCCCCCCCTCCCCCACCACACACACACCCAGACCACTGCTACGAGGGAACCTTCATCAAGTAAGGTCAGCATTCAAGGACCATGGGGGCACACTCGGGTCTGATGGTGTGTGTGTGTGTCTTGTTGATAGTGGAGGACCGGGAGGGTGGTGTGGTGATAGTTGTGGTAGACCGGGAGGGTGGTGTGGTGATGGTTGTAGTGGACAGAGAGAAAGTTGTTCTGATGGTTGTGGTAGGCAGAGATAGTGTCGTGGTGACATTTTCGGTTGTGGTGTAACATAGGAAGGGTAGTCAAGGTGTTATGCAAAACAAGGAATCAGGGGGTCATTACCTCTCCAGTCACTCTGAATCATCATAATAGGAAAAGGTTTTTGAGCAAGGAAAATTGAGTTAACGTGTGTGTGTGTGTGTGTACATATTGATTGACAATATTGGTAAGAGTTAAAGGTCATACTCTGTTATTCCGGGGGTTTTAATACTGCAATGTCACCACCCCTGATATTCATGAGATAGGTAGTTGATAGGGTAGGTTATCCCAGCATCCCATTGTCCTCATGCCACGTACCATACTGTATATCTTATCGGGGAATGAACGTAACGCTCGAGTGTCTTGGTACAGGCACCCCTTGTATCCAATTTGTGAATCACGTTGTTGGTATTTCCCTCGTTCTTTATCGTGTTGTTGCATATTTCATTGCTATTACAAAGGTTAATGTTTTGTTGAAACTCAATGAATCTTTTATTTACCTGCAGTATGTATTCTTGGAACTCCCATCTTTGGATTGGCACAGACCTATGGCTATTCATGTTAAGGTTGCCAAGTACATCTTGTAGTTTAGGGTGTCTACCACATGGGCTACCACACAGGATGAGACAGGATATGTGTACCGGTATGTACTTCTCCTGTGGTCGGGATACTTGTAACAAGCTGAGGTATTATGACAGGTTGGTGGGGATAAGGTTATTCTATACAGTACTAGTTGCACCTGGCGCACACTGGGTATCAGTTACACAATTCCTTCTCAGTTGGGATGCAGGCCAGGAACCATTGTACTGTCAACCCTGTATAATATACCCTTGTCTACCTGTTAGGCTTCATGTAGTTACTATGTGTGTGTATCTCGTCATATACCCCCTGTATATAATTTCCCATAATATATATATATAGATAGTGTGATATTGACTGGTGTGTTGCTGAGAACTGTTGATTATTATTACAACTTGCTAAAGAGTAAAAAAAATGGTCATAGGCTCATAGCAGTAGAGAGAATTGAACCTTGTACTCGTGCCTCAGTGTGTGTGCGCGTTAGAGAGGGTGACGTGACGGTGGTGCTGGATGGTGTAGGTGTGGCACCGGGCGCCTCTTGAGGTTCCTCGCTCGTCCCTCTGCTGCCTAACATTGGCACTGACACTTGACACTTCAGTTAAAGCCCAGGGGTGGGGTGGGCAGGGAGGGATGGAGGAGGACCAGGCTAGTGTGTGGGAGGGATAGAGGACCAAGCAGTGTGTGTGTGGAGGGATGGAGGAGGACCAGGCTAGTGTGTGTGGAGGGATGGCAGAGGACCAAGCTAGTGTGTGTGTGGAGGGAGGGAGGAGGACCAGGCTAGTGTGTGTGGAAGGATGCAGGGGAACCAGGCTAGTGTGTGTGAAGAGGTGGAGGAGGACCCGGCTAGTATATGGAGGGATAGAGGAGGACCAGGTTAGTATATGGAGGAGGACCCAGCTAGTATATGGAGGAGGGCCAACCTAGTGTGTGTGTGGAAGGGGTGGAGGAGGACCCGGCTAGTATATGGAGGGATGGAGGAGGGCCAAGCTAGTGTGTGTGGAAGGATGGAGGAGGACCCGACTAGGGTGTGTGAAGGAATGGTAGAGGAGACAGAAATGCCCCAGCCGCTCCTCCCCCCCCCCCTCCTTTAACTACTTCCTCTTGTTAGCACAGTTAGTAACACTTTAGGGCGACTGTCACAATAGAGGACATCGCGGTCCCACCCTCACACAGTCGTGGAAGCTGGGTTTTTTCCCGTGGTAATCTTGAGGTTCGTCTTGACATTGCAGGTATTGTTTTTTTATGATACAGGGTATGTCGGCTTTTGTTACAGAGAGGTCGGGGCTTGTGTTACAGGGTATTCCATGTCTTGTGTTACAGGGTAGGTAATGCTTTGTATTACAGGGTATGTCATGTCTTGTGTTACAGGGTAGGTAATGTCTGGTGTTGCAGGGTAGATAATGCCTTGTGTTACAGGATATATAGACTATATTAGGACTTCCTTTTAAACTGATCTTGATTGCTCAAGGCGGCGGCGTGATGTTATGTCTTAGCATGTTTGTGTGTTGAGCAAGAGGAGGTATCAGGCATACCTTAGCAAGCAGCTGGTGGTTTGCTTCACCCCCTCCCTCCCCCCTGCCCTCGTGTGTATCCCGCCACAGTACAGTATATATTATGCTGCAGCCTCGCCTATACACTTTACTTCCTCTGTCAGTGGTAACCCTTGTAACTTGGATATTGCCAACCATGTACAGTATAGAACTATAAACTATTCCAGCGTGTGTGTGTATATATATATATATATATATATATATATATATATATATATATATATATATATATATATATATATATATATATATATATATATATATATTGATAAAATCACACAAGAAAAGGGGAAACAATGGAGAACCTTAGCTTTCGTCATTATTCAAGACATCTACAGAGGCAACTGAATTACAAGGACTGAGAGGCTTATGTACACAGGGTGACCTTACAAAACATGAGGTCAGGTCAAAAACATGACGTCCACTAATCCACACACTACGATTTATCTTATCCACGTTTCCATTGTGGAGATCTACATATATATATATATATATATATATATATATATATATATATATATATATATATATATATATATATATATATATATATATATATATATATATATATATATATATATATACACACACACACACGTTTAATGTTTTTTAAATACCACCTAATCAATTTGATGCTTCCTGATGTGTTGTACAGTATTGCATTTAGTTTTCAGTTGCATTGTTGCATAAGACGGATGCATTTTCTTGTTGCATATAGAGTAGTTTCGTGGTAAATACGAAATATGAAGGCAACGGAGCAATAAGGAAGCTCGAGAACTTGTCGATATGGCAGGTCGTCTGCTGCCACGGAGGTGCATCCTTACAAGAGCTGCACAACCCATACAAAAATGCTCCCATGCTCTCAACTCATTACCTTATTGTTTTTGTGTTCCCCCATGGACACGTACTTGTATGGACCATTTTTTCAAACCTGTTCTGCATTGTCCAGAGAACAAATAGTGTAAATGTGTTTTCCCCACAGTACAGTCGTCTGCTGGAGAGTTCCCGTGTCTCCATGGTAGTCCTCAAGCGACACGGAGAGGTGGAGATAGAGTTCACAGAAAGGAAACTGTATTGATGGAAATTCAACACCGCCTTTGTTGTTGTTTTTGGTGTAGTAAATATTCCGATAACGGCAAGATATTGACAGGGGGAAATATATGTTAATGCCTTCAGTGTCAAGATGCTGGTGACGGTCGTTGGTGTATTCGGCGTTTGTCTGTCTCACTGACGATACAACCCCATTAAAGAGCGTCAACATAAAGAATTCTTATATACAGTGGCTGATCTATTTATGTACCACACGCTCCTCCGCTCCTCTTGGTTAAGTTTTACTTATAGATCCACTTCTTGTTAATAATAATATTTAGTTCGGGTCATGATTGATTTTCCTGTATTCAAGAGAACTGTCCTTGTTTGTTTCTGTAGCCTATAATAACATGTAGTGTCGGGCGGGAGAATGTGTGGGTTTGTGGTAGTGGCTGGCTTCACCTGTTGGTGGATAATGACGCCATGGAA